TGCATATCTCGTCGATTTCCAACCCAACTGGATGAGAATCAGAAGCGAACCGCAATGGGTGATTATGGTAGTGACAGAGGCGTTTGTGTTAGTAAGCATTTCTGTTATCACACTGAGCTAGAGTGTTTGCTTTATCCATAAGTCGATTTTGAGCGATTCAGCTTGAACAAATACCAATGTAACGGGAGTCTATCTGATGCATTGTTTAAGTTTATCGGAAAGCACTAAAAATATTTGCTTTTCAATTCGACATGGGAAATTTCGGTTGTTTTGAAATAAATCTAGTTGAATGACTGATTTATTTCATTTGTCTGGCTTTTCGGATGCAGAGAGCGACCAGCTGTGTCGTTGAAGCAATTCCCGTTGAATTCAAGGAGGTTACAATTTGGAGCGAAAGTTCGACTCAAATGTGATGTTTGAGGATGCAAAACGGTTCTGATTATGAATTTGAATAAATTTGTTCATAATGAGCAAATATGGAAAAGTCAAGCATTTTTCAAATTTGTTTGCTTGAACTTTTTTTTTGAATTTGCAGCATTCTTCTGACACTGAGATGGTTTTCGTGGAAAACAAACAGCTCCAATTGATCGGTAGATAGAAACCGTTGGACTAATGCAGCGTTTGTTTGTGTTTCTCGCGAATCGGTAGCACAGCTGGATGAAAATGGAAATGAAATTGCACTTATTGCCAATTATTTTGAATTTACGACTGGCATTAGCACAAATTAATATTTTTGATTTATTTCGAGCTGTCGTATTTGTCAATGGCACTGAAGCATTCCTTATTTATGGAAAAATGAGCGCATCCGTCATGCACTCAATCATATAACTCCATACGGAACGTTCTTGATCTCGCAGTTCCAATGCATTCAAACAACTAAGAAATACTTGCATCACAGTGGAATCTGTGGNTCGTGGTTGATCGATTTAGCCATGAACACTGCAGTACCTGATGATTTGCTGTAGCTACACTGGGCAGTTCCAATATATCTCGAAACGTTTCGTTCGAAAGACGGGGATTCTAGTCCGTGTCTACTAGCCGTAACTGTCACATTATTCATAATTCACCTTATTATTATCATCAGTTTTCTCCTATGCAAGATGCACGAGCAAGAGTGCCGCTGATGAGATCCGTCTACTCGATGAATCGTATAGTGATGAATAGCATTGATTATTTGCATGTTGTGATTAACGTTATTCAGCTGTTGATTAGCATTATCTTTATTGTTGCATCAGCATTATTATTGTATTATTGAGGTGAAATGCAGAAAAATTACATACCAGGAAGATTGAATTTGCTTATTAATTCAATTAAAAAGCCACTGAAGTGAATTGAATTTTTTGAATTAAATTGATGACAAATTTGAGATCATTCGATTGGATCCTTACGAATACATTTAAACTATAATTATTTAGATTTTGATCACAATTGAACATCATTCACTATCGTCGTCATCATCAATATTGGAATCTGGTTTTGCTTTAGGAACGTGCTGTAAAGGGCCTTTGGACGGGTCCATGCCAATCACGAGTGATTCGTGTTTGTCACTCACCGATACTCGATTCGTGCCATTGGAACGCAATCGACGACTCAAAATTCCACGAACTTTCTTCTGCAAATTGGTGCAGTTAACAGTCTGCGGAACATTTAGAATGCTGAAATTGTTTCTCTGTTTTTTGTACAATCTCGATCCAAAGTTGCTTCTCGCTGCTTATATATATACGAATTTGGCAATCACCAATGAATTATCCTCGAATTAACTTTGATTTTCGATATCACTTTCGATCCAAGAACAAAATTGACTCGGTAAGGAGAGTGTTGAAAATGGAGCCGTTCATGGCCGCGGGTACTGAATGCTTCATCACCTAATGAATTGTATCGTGATTATTGAGTCGTAAGGAAATGTTTAGAATACGACATTGAATTAATGGTATTATCAGTAGCTTGATTGACAACAGATTTTATACGCGATAGACCATTAGATCTAAAATGGCGACCAATCCCGCAGAGGATCATTGAGAAATGTGCTTAGAGGGATAGTTTAGTAGGATAAAAATGATTGACAATCTTTGAGGTTAATTGGACGGATGTAAGACAAAATGGTAATGCATTAGTGAATTGCTTATTGATCAGGTTGATTTCATATTCTTTTATGTGTTCAGAATATGGCGTGCTTGTGGATTCCGATTTTTTTACAGTTGTTATTTGGTGATTTATTTGTTTGATCGATTATTGCTTTTTATCGGATTATTTTAATTAAACGTGTGATTTTATTCATGATCGTTGGAGTAAGAGTGATATAGGATATGAATCAATCGATTGCTAGATACTGATCTGTTGATTTGATCAATTCATTAGATAATGTTACGATGACTTAATCATTGATGTAATCGTGTGGTTGAGTCGACCAAGTTTGAAGGTTAACGACAAAGTGTTGAAATCCACAACAATCGTTAATGATGAAACAAATTATGAAAAAGAAATCATCGCAAGCTGCGCGTTCAACATGGATAAGATTCACTCACACGAGAGCCTTGAAGTTGAATTTTCTTTTTCTCCCGTTGCGCAATTTTCAGCACATCACTATTCATCACATAAGATGGTTTGTCTTTTGACGTTTGTCTTGATTGTGAGCTATTCGATCGCTTCGGGGGTGACTTTAATTGACGAGTTACTTTTAACGAAACATGACCATTCTTCTAAAATTTCAACTAAACGATAATGTCGTCAAGCAATTCGCTATGATGGCCCCTCCCTTCGCATGCCATCGCCACTTCCATTTAAATCCACTACAGATCTTCAATAGCGTTGATCATAAAATTTGTCATGAAAACTTTCATTGCGTAGCTCAAAAATCAGAATAGACTACAGATAGAGCAAGTAGGGAAGAAACTTCCATTCGCTTAT